TAAACAATGAAGCGTAGGCCGTAAAGAAGATATTTTTGAACTAAAAATTCATACACAAATATGTTTGCTATTTTAACCTATTTAATAAATCAGTATCCGATACAAAACGTTTAAAAAGTTTGTGTCCTTTATAGTTTCAAACAATTATTCTGGTGTTTCCAACTTTTATTGAGGATAGATGGCTAATTATTCATTTATAAATAAAAGGATTAAATTACATTCACCTACCATCGATTGCTACTAAGCGGAAACACGTCATGAGAAAACGCCTGCCTCGTACCCAGGCGGTATGTTGTTCTATTGCTCGCGTGGCCTTTGCGTGGGACGCGTGCCTGCCACGTGTACAAACCAAAGCGCCTGGGTACGAGGCAGAGAAAACGCGATCTATAAATTGGACATAGCTTGCGTAGCCAGCGGTTTGCATCGCCTCCCTAATTTTCGTTGCCCGCGCCTCAACCCCAAGGAAAACTGCCGGCTACGCTGAATTGGACATGAAACATAACATGTTTGGACTTCAAACTTTACATGATTTTGCTGGAAACATTTGACGATTTACAATTATTTTTTCCGCGAAAACGTAACAAAGTTAGTACAAACATTGCAAACCGCATTACTGAATTTGTCCACTATAAACACAAAATATAAGGCCTGTTTCATACGTCGAATTTAATTCAGACGAATTTAATCACGGATTTAGTGTTTGCAAGCTAATCCCCGCCCAATATGAATGTGTTTCTAAATTTGAAATATTGACAGTTGACTGTGAGTGTCAATATTTCAAATCCAAATTTCAAGTCCAAACAAATCATGTTTGACAGCCAATTGGACGCGTTTTCTCATGACATGTTTCTGCTTTATAGTTGCAATCAACGGTATATTGTTCATGTGCTTCGGAATGCTTCGAATTTGCTTCGAACTTCGAAGGTTCGAAGCGTCTTCAAAAATCATAATTAAGAATTTTTTGATGAATCACCGCTGACCGATATAGCAGCAGTCCATATGCAAATCCCGGGCGTTTGCCCCCGGGGTTAATTTTCAAAATACAAATGTAGGCTAAATCCCGGGTCTCCGGGGCGTGATTTTAAAACAAATTCCGTGCCATGCCCGGGGGTTGCCCGTGAGTTGCCCGGGGGTCGACCCCCCGGGAAAGCCGCTGATACCTGCATAATCGTTGTTTACTGTTTATTTTGTATTCAGGTATGGGGAATTTAAGCGATGAGAGTTGTAAAACTTGCAAATGTAGTCCGACTAGTTTCTTTGACGTCATCATGCAACTATTTAATATTGTGCCATATTCATTATTCAATTTATTCACAGCAATTAGCCTTCTATAAGCCATACAAACGATTATAGCTTATAGCCCACCTTGCCTTTAACATTGATCCTATATATAATGAATTAACATAGCTAACTTGATTATGTTGCTAGTCAAGTATGGGACCTATGGGTCTTCTAGATCCTAGAGTAGCACTTCTGTAATTAATATAAATTCTCCGTAAGGCGGTAATATTAATTAAGACTGTTCTTATTTATGCATGACCTTTGACTATTAAGTGGCCAAAAATTGTGCCTACAGTAATCAACTTATTCCACTATCCAGGTTGCATCACTTTTGATTGCAAAACACCCAGGTTTATTATACATGGATTTGCTAGCAAAATAGCAGCAATTGATGAACTTGGTGTTGTTGTGTAAAGAAACAACGAAAAGTATATATCAATCAGAGTCATTATCTTGATCAATTTCCGATGGGATCTCCAAAGAAAGTAGCTACATGTGCGGACAACATGAAACTTCAGACTGCAGAAAATTTCACAATCCGTTATCAAAACTTATGTCACAGAAGTGGTATTTAAAAGGACATATGTGACAACTGAATGGTACCTTTTGTAAATGTTTTGGCCAGGGGTGGGTATTTATTTTTTAATTGATATTTGAGGTTGAGTAATCAATTTTTTTTACTTTTTAATGGTTGGGTCAGCAAATTTTTGCTACGAAAAACATTTCTCTTCGGTGCCACCCCCCGCCATAAATAATGACCGGTCCCTAACTTCCATAGGCGTACGGGAAGGAAAAAATTAGGGGGGCGGAAAGAAATTTGCCCGACTTTTTCGGATTGTGCCCGAGTTGTCAAAAAAAATTTTCCGGAGAAACTTTCCAAAATTGTTGTCGATGGGGGGGGGAGGGGGGAAAGGAGCGATTACGAAAAATTCTTATTAGATAGCATATTTCCCACAATATTGACAGAATTTCCCACAAAATTGACAGAATTTGTCCCATTTATTTTTATAATAAGCCAATATTGCGCGACTGTGAAGCGAATATTGCCCGACTGGCTTTGTTTGCCCAACAAACTGGGGGCTGCCGGCCCCTTCGCAAGAACTTCTTTGCAGTATCACAAGAACTTCTTTGTACTATTTTAAAATATTAATATTAATATAAAGAGAGATATCAAATAAAGATTCTTCAATTTCAAATCACATCTATTTGGTGTGTAAACTACTAAATATATAACCAATTATAAATTTGTTCCGTTAAAGTTATGACAAAGTGACTCAGTGCATGGTTTGACTGATCAAAGTGACTGCTATACTGTATATATTCATGTATAGCAGGATGGGTCGTGAAATTTTTCCAATAACCTACGATGGGCTTTGAAAGTTTTTCTTGGTTCTCAGGATGGGCCACCGGTTTTTTTTTGGAAAACCTATTTTTCCCTCCGGCCCACCCTAGCAGTTACTTTATGACCGGTCCCTAAAAATAGATTAAATTAACTATATTCTGAATTCACATAACAATTGCTAATGTAACCCCCTGCACTCTTAATTCCCGACTATCAGACAAATAGCAAAAAATAGCATGAATGTGTTATTAAGTTTTTAATAGTCAAAAGATTCACACCGTACCTTAAGATAGAAAACTTTTGCCGTTTGTCAACCAAATTCTTTGTCAAGGAAAGCTTCTTCCTTTCCACAAAAGATCCACGATATTTTACACAAATTTACAGGTATATTAAAGCTAAACTAGCCAAGCAGGCTAAGCCCATAAACCAAAATATGGCAAAATATTTACAATTCCCACTCATATGAAAACAATTTTGTTGAAAAAAAAGAAAAAGAAACTGCAAATCTCTCCCAGATTTACCTCTTCCCATAGGCAAACTTCAAAATAAAAATAATTCAACAAAAATGAGCGAGATTTCAAACAATATCCTTGATTTCGAAACAATTTTTTGCGATCTTTTTAGTAAAAAATGCCCGCCATTTTGTAAGTTTTCGGGGGGGGGGGTGAATGCCTCTCCTTAGCGCACTGGCTAAGCTTTTGGTTACACTCAAACATTAGCGTTTCGTAATACAGTTACACCTCTGTCCAGTATCTACTCTGTGCCATTATATTTTCCGAATATGAAGTATCTAAAGTAGTTGTTATGGTAACACGATAATTTTTAAAGAATATACTCTTACAAATGAAAAATCGCCTAAAAATATCACTTTTAATTACAAAATTATCAATTTCCCAACATACATATGTTAGGTATGATATTATACGTAATATAAGCTTCAATTTAAGGTAAAATTCAACCACAAACGCTTCGCAAAACGTTTTAAAGTGTTCTTTATAAAACTATAAAACAGCCTTTAATTAAATGGCTTTATCGATAAACTTTGAGTTTGCAATAAAATGATTTCAAATTCTCGCATGCAAATAACTTTGCTTTCTTTTTTATTTATTTAAAAAATTCAATATAATAAAAAAGGGAATCAATATTAAAGATACAATGAAATGATATGCTGTCTTGTTTAGTTGTTTCATATACGCAAAGGCCGTCGGGTTTTAAAGCAATTATAAAATCAATATTTAAAACAAACTTACCTTCGTTAACGTCGGCTCCCTTCTTTTAGCCGATTCTTTCGCCCTTTCTTTCTTGAAATTTACAAAATCTTGCAAAAATGCGACCAACAAAGAAATATATTTGCAAGAAATTTATCAATCATCAAATCAAGAAATGTTGGCTATTAGTAAAACACGGAGCACGGAGCACACGGAGCACGGAGCACACGGAGTACGGAGCACACGGAGCACGGAGCACACGGAGCACGGAGCACACGGAGCACGGAGCACACGAAGTACGGAGCAGTAGAAAAACGAAAATACTTTATAATAAAATACACTGTTTACTATTACAAATTTTTGTTATTATTAATAAAGAGTTTTCGCGAATTTACACGTTGGGGAAGTAGGAAAATGGGGCTTTTACTGAAAAACACATATGATGCAAAACTGCCAAAAGCCATAGCATTTAAAATGGGATTGTGAAACTCGTTATCTTACATCCATCAAGCTTATATAGTTATATTATATTCCGATTGGGCAACACATAAAGAAACACTTACTGTAGAGAACAGCCGATATATTTCGTTACCCCTGCCCAAAAATAGCCAAGTACTCATCTTTCAATGTAGCCGGGATCGACTGAACATTAAAGCTTGTCATGGAGAGAATTGAATTTTCGGTTTATCCTTCGGCCCAGTGACCGGTGGCAGTGAGCTGTACGGCCGGCTAAGTTTAAACCGTTATAATATACAGTACATCATTACTGCTTTCATTCTTTCAATTCGTTTTGAATATTCGGAATCATTCACAATATTATAAAACTGTATAAGATGGCTGTAGAACTATAAATGCTGTAGAATGAAATAAATAAAGTCTTAAAGAAAAGTAAGTTTTCAAATCGCGGTATTTGCCGATAAATCGGTAATCGCTACAGAAAAACTGAACAAATTAAAGTAAATCACAACAAACTGCAGAAGTGAGACAATTTTTGTATTTTCACTGTATAAGACATAGTAGAACATGTACGAAATCTAAACAAAGTGTGTGTGTATTCTATACTTTGAAACAACTAAATCAGAAAAATATACTAAAATTTGACAGTATTAAACTAGCTGCTTAGTTTTGAGAATTTAGATTTTAGGTATTCGTTGTACCCAGTAAATATTTTTGAGTTTTGAATTTTGATTCTCAAGCTGTTTTAATAAATGTGTATAAATCGACACTAACGCCTCAAAGGCGAAAAGGTGGGCAAGATTGTAACAATCGGTTGTAAACATGAGCAGTTTCGAGCATAAACATGATATTGAACGAGTAATTTAACGCATCTGATTGGCTACTAAATTCGGGAAGCCAGTTAAGTGCATGTACGTGTATTTGTTACAATTCCGATCAACTCTGCCAGTCTGCCGTTGTGACTGCTGAACCTATTAAATCTCATCCAAATAAAACAATTTTTTCGGCGGAATCCGACGATCCGAAAATCTATTCACCCACTAACTTTACAATTCGGTGTTAGGTTTAAAAATTGACGTGTATTATACTATTATTCTATACATAATTTTATAGGTGAAACTCTAAAAGAAAAGCCGTACAGCTGCATATGACATTCCGGTTAAAAAATTAGAACGCTGACTTTTCGCGTTCTCTTTTCTTTTTTTTCTCGTAAACAACTCCATATAGGGAAGTTTGTTCCATATATGGAGAAAGACGTGGAAACAGATTTTTAAAAATGCTGATTTTCAAAAAATTACCAAAATCTTTATAGAGATATATAAAATTGTTCACAATTTTAGCACTTTTTGAGCACTATTTTGAGATTTTGAGCACTTTTTGAGCACTTTTTAGCCCTTTTTGCCAGAACTTTTTTGGATTTTACCAGCGCAATCGGGAAAGGCCTAAATAATAGTGCATTTCGATATGCGTACGTACTCGACCAAGTATTTGGGAATCTATGCTCTTTACACGTACTCGACTTCAAAAGTAAACGGCTGTACGATTTGTTAGCTTACTGGACCAAAAGTAAACGGCTGTACGCATTATTGTAACGCATATTGTGTGTACTCTATCTAGTTTATAGTCAAAATATCCATCACATGTATCTAAACTATCAAACTTTATAATTCCATCGAAATACTGGTCTACATGCGGCTGCCGGCAGTATTTTTACAATACTACGTGCCCGGCAGTCAGGAAACAGCACACTGGGCCGAAGGATAAACCGAAAATTCACTTCTCTCCATGACAAGCTTTAATGTTCAGTCGATCCCGGCTACATTGAAAGATGAGTACTTGGCTATTTTTGGGCAGGGGTAACGAAATATATCGGCTGTTCTCTACAGTAAGTGTTTCTTTATGTGTTGCCCAGTCGGAATATAATATAACTACATAAGCTTGATGGATGTAAGATAACGAGTTTCACAATCCCATTTTAAATGCTATGGCTTTTGGCAGTTTTGCATCATATGTGTTTTTCAGTAAAAGCCCCATTTTCCTACTTCCCCAACGTGTAAATTCGCGAAAACTGTTTATTAATAATAACAAAAATTTGTAATAGTAAACAGTGTATTTTATTATAAAGTATTTTCGTTTTTCTACTGCTCCGTACTTCGTGTGCTCCGTGCTCCGTGTGCTCCGTGCTCCGTGTGCTCCGTACTCCGTGTGCTCCGTGTGCTCCGTGCTCCGTGTTTTACTAATAGCCACAATCTGCAGGCTTATCTTTCAAAGGCTATAAATCGCTATAATGTTGAGATAGACAAAAATTATCTTTAGGAATTTTGTCTGAACCGAACGGTGCATAGTATTCATAGCATAGCATAGCATAGCATAGCATAGCATAGCATAGCATAGCATAGCATAGCATAGCATAGCATAGCATATATAGCATAGCATTAGCATTCACTGAAGCGAAGATATGAAACCTGCAAAATACTATTTCACCATCGGCATACATAGTTTAATTAGCACTTGACAAAGAAGAGTTGTTAATTTGCTTATTTAAGTAAGTCAAGTGTTTTGCAAAGCGACATTGGAAATTTTAATAAAATTTATACCGCCTGTGTGTAAATTTGATTGTTTCAATCATAATAGCTTCGCCAAAATATCTGCGCAACGTCTGCGAAGATGCGTTTAGTTCAGGTGGCATCTGGTATTATGAAATAATTTAGCAGTTTTCCTAATTATAGTCAATAATATTCAGAACACGTCGGCATGTACACACATGCATTAGATACATATGTTGAACAGAAGCATGCAAATACTTATCTATATAAAAAATGTACAAGAACTAAATTTGGACCAAATAGTTTTGCCATGTATTTTCTTTCCCTAATTCATGCTGTATCTCAAGCAAAATGCCAAAAATCTTGTTTACTCAATATTTTTAATAGTCTTTCTAGATCTCATAAATTGTCATGTCGATTGATTTTCCGAAAATAGAACCTTAATGGACGACTTATACGCTTTAGAAAAATTTTTAATCTGGGAATAACAAAGGATATTTTCTGAAAGAAGTTATCAAAATTAGAAAAACTGCAAAGTTTGGTTGCAAAATGTTGTAAAATACGGAAAATATAGCCCTGCGAAGTTGGCAAATTTGTATACATTTCTATTACGTGCGGAAATTGGTAACTATAATTTAGTTATCAATTCACGCACGTAATACAAAACGGTATACAAATTTGCCAACTTTGAAGGCCTATATTTTCCGTATTTTACAACATTTCGCAACCAAACTTTGTAATGTTACTAATTGCAAGACGCTCTTTCCAGCTGTGGTGATAGATTTCGTTGTTCTTACTTAGAGTAAAATTTAGTCAAAAGCGCAAGTCGTCCATTGGAGTTGCAGCCTTTGCATGCGCGATGTTTAAAATTTGGTTGCTTAGTACATAAGTGTGTTGTTGGGATACTAATATTGGAGTTTTCTACTAAAAATTGATTTACCACTTAAAATCTAGGGCCTTTTTAACTATATAACTAGGGGGGGGGGGGGGGGGCAAAGCCCCCCAAGTGTCCGGACGCCAACAATATTTAAACTTATAACAATTTTAATTTTAATTTTATTTACCAATAATATCGCCACATCTTCGAGAGGCGCTCAGTTCGTTTGACAGCTGCAAGAACATTCTATCAGTTTAAGAACGACATTGAGGTAGGTTAAGTTTCTAATTGTTCTGGATAGTTAGGATGTATATATGTTATAATGGGACATTTTATTACAATTCAAATAATTAACAATTATACATGAGCCCGAGTCGTATATGGGCTGATAGCTGACGAGGTGCGAAGCATCGAGTCGGCTATCAGCCATACACGACGAGAGCGAATGGTATAATTGTTTTATAATATAGTCTAATAGCCATTAACTGAAGCAATAATTAATTATCCTCTGTTACAATGTCTTGACAATTTGTTCGGCCAAAAACCGCTTCGCCTTTAAAATACTTTTGTTTTAAAACTCGAAGACGAAGTTTTAGAACCGGTATATCTCACAGAAAAGCTCAGATATATTATACAGATGTTTGGTAGTATAGTAAGTGCTTGTTGACTGCAAATTCATTTGTCTTTCGTTGGAAACTTTTATGAACAATTTATATTCTCAATTTTTCGCTGTTGTTTCGGTATTAATTCTTTAAAAAACTTGTATTTAAACTAATTTCTATGTAATAAATGTATTTTGCTAACCTATCAATGTACTATTATCTTTCCATCTTGTTTTATATATATATATATATATATATATATATATATATATATAAGTTCGTTAGAAGCTATAGGTCAAACATAGTCATATAGGCTATTTTATCTGAAGAGTGCCACGTTATTGACGTGGTAGGCCTACGAAACTCTATAGTGATAAATATGCCAAACATATTACGGAGTGTACAATAACACAACATAATACATATTGCATATAGCTAGGAATTTCCTATTCCTATACAGGGTGAATGCCGCTCTTTAGGGCTGTTAAGTACATTGCCGCCAGCTAACATTACGGTTTTCCCGTGGAAGCGAGACCTCTGTATGTACTTACTCTGTGCCCATACGAATTTGAGAGGGCTTCTGTAGCGCAGGCATCAGAACAACCGCCATTCACTTCTGAGATCGTGGGTTGGATTCTCGCTACGAACTCATGTGAAAAGAGTCAGTCAACGCTCTGCCAAAAGTCGTGGGTTTTCTCCGGGCGCTTCCGTTTCCCCCAGGGAAAGTTGGCAGGGTGGGTTAGGAAACACATAGTTAGATTGTTGTAAAGATAAATAGTCAGTAACAAAAATAAGTGTTAGGTGCCGCGAATTTATTATTATGATAAATTCAAAATTTGCCGCGAATTTATCATAATGATAAATTCGGACGTGTTTAAGAATTTCCTCATATAGTAAATTCAAAGGTGGAGCTCATGCTGGAATAATAATGTAATGTAATGTAATGTAACATGTCCACCGAATCATGACAACAAAACCAGAAAACCTTAACCTCAAAAGGTATGTGTTTTATATCATCCATATAGATTGCATATTCGAAAGCACACGATGAAACTTTCATGCAATTTACTGTTGTCATCTAACATCTTCTTGATGTTACTTGGACTGCTGACAGCCAACAAACATTTGCAGAAGCTTTTTAGGAAAGATAAAAAAGGTATGCTTTCGACTCTTTAGTGTATCCATGCAGTACAGTACCTATCTTATCCTCAACCATGTCAATAAAGTAGATTTTATCTCGGTTTGCGTCACTCTGTTTTATATTATACCAAAACTACATATTTTGATAGCTGCCTATACAGGGTGTATAAAAAAACTGCACAGATTTGAAATTTGCTCTTAAATTCGCAAAACAGCTATTAGTATCCAGTTTTTTTTTATGTATATAGCTTCTTTGGCTACTTATAATGTAGAAAAATGGAAAAAAAATTCTCGAACTCAAATTTTGTGAACCAGGGGTGTGTGTCTTTTCCAACAAACTAAAAATGGCTTGCGCACGAAATTTAAAAGCTCTAATCATATTTTAAGTTAACAGATGGAAAGTTTGTTGGGTGTTTAATTACTGTACAAAATTTCAGACAATTTGCTTCAGTTTACGCCCTTTATTGACCATTCACGCAAACTTACATTTTTTCTTAAAAAATCACCATTTGCATGCTAATCAATGCCTTTGCCTAATTTGCATATGTCAGCAATATGCAAATTAGGTAAAGGCATTAATTAAGCATGCGAAAGGCTAATTTTTTAGAGAAAAATGAATAGTTAAAGGCTTAAACTAAAGCAAATTGTCTGAAATTTTGTACAGTAATTAAAAACCCAACAAATGTTCCATCTATCAACTCAAAATATGATTTTATCAAAATAGATTTTATCTCGGTTTGCGTCACTCTGTTTCATATTATATCAAAACTACATATTTTGATAGCTGCCTATATTAAAGATTGATATGAAACCATGAATTATTTTAAATAAATAACAATCATTTTTATTCAACACAATAATAATAATAATATGAACATGTAATTGTTCGTATTTCCCAAATGGTTAAATGCGTTTTATTGGCAATTTGGTAAGATGATAATATTGTTACAACTTGTGGAAAAGCTACACGCTTGTTGCGAACACATCCTGTTGACGAGATGTTGTGTAATTGATGGTTTAAATTACTGCTTGAAACTAGGCTGCTTGGGTGGTCGTTTGTCGATTGAATAGTTAGATGATGGCTTGTTCAATAACAGAATAACTGATATAATTATTTAATAGTTCCAGCTTTGGCATGGAAAGATATTATATCCAACCACAGTGTGCCTTCTGAAATCGACTGTGCATTTAACTGTGGTAATGAGCCAATATGTGCTGGATTTAAATACAAATTTGGTACACTGAACAGTCCATCAGTAAACTGCCAACTCAGCAACACTACTGGCAAGAACAACATGGCAAATTATGATGATCAGGGCTGGGTGTTTTTTATCGATGATACAAAAAAAATGGTACGTATACTTAAATTATGTGTGCAATAACTCTTGAAACAATAGCGTGATTCCTTTTTATCTCCATGTTTCATTGTTTATATATTTAATTCGGGTTTTTTTTTCAATAAAGCCGTGCAACCAACAGTGATGTATTTAGTGCGTCACTTAGTATTAGCAAATATACAAAACTTAGAAAAAATATTGTTGGTATGATACAAAAAAGTTACTGTTAAGTGCATGTTAACAGCTATAACCTAAGCATTACCTAACCTAAAGGTTACTGTAAACCTAACAGCAACTTGGTTTCCTTCAGTCGAACCGGCCTAATACACTTTTACTATATTATAAAAGCGCTTTATAGTTGAAAATGTATTAATTATAGAAACATTACAGTCATACATGCACAACTGAGAAAGAAATGACTACAACGCCTGGTATTCCTACAACTAAGAAAGAAATGACTACAACGCCTGGTATTCCTACAACTAAGAAAGAAATTACTACAACGCCTGATATTCCTACAACTAAGAAAGAAATTACTACAACGCCTGATATTCCTACAACTAAGAAAGAAATGACTACAACGCCTGGTATTCCTACAACTAAGAAAGAAATGACGACAACGCCTAGTATTCCTACAACTGGTAAGTGCAACGCAAATTTTAAATTAAATATCTTCATATTTTAGTATTTCGAAATTCGAATTATATAGAGAATAAAGGCGGATTTCCAGTCCTCGCACGAAGCTCCTCACAGCTCGCTGCGAGTGCTTGCATCTAATTAAAATTAACTGTTTAGCATTGTGATTGGATGAAAGTGCTCATGCATGCACTCGCAGCGAGGAGCTTCGTGCGAGGACTGGAAATCCGCCTTAACACATGGGTGCGCGGAAATACCAGATTTATTTCGAGTGTTGAACATGATATCTCACGCCCCCCGCTCACCAACAACTTTGGGAAAAGAAATATTAATTAGCGACTGAAATGTTGTCGGCAAATGCGATACTACCCCAACCTCAGCCTGTTTGCTACGGTCCTGGGCAGACGGTATCCACGAAGGATTACTCAAAAGGCGAGTCGTCTGCCATGCAGGGTATGCTGGGATAAGTAAAAATCTATCTTCATAATGATCCATTTCATTTCTTGAAATTTATTTAGTCCTGCCACAACATAGTGAATGCTCCGGCTATTCATGGCTGAAAGAGAGCAGCAGAAACCAGAAATATCGACAACCCCAACACAATTGTGACGACGGTCTTTCAGGATGGTACAGATTTGGAGAAGGAGCTGGGATTAAAATGGCATCATCGTGTGTACCTTGGAGGAGTTGTGGAACTAATGGCCCAGGTTGGATGAATGGTGCTCACCCTACAGTTGCTGATAGAAACGTGACCAGGAAAGTGTGTTACACTAGGAAAGATGATTGTTGTTCGCGGTCAAATAACATCGAGGTTGTGAATTGTGGACAGTATTATGTTTACAAACTAAGCCCTCCTCCTTTGTGTAACTACAGATATTGTGGATCAGATAATTGATTCGGATTGTTCCACGTATACATTATGATGCATTTATACTATAGTGGACCAGCACTAGACTTCAAAGATTGAACTTTATTCAATTGACTTAATGTAAATGATTTAGCAAACGTCCACCCTCTAACAGATTAACAGACGCTCAAGTCAACTCAGAATCATACAGCAGCCGCCCTTCTCGATTAACTCCGTCATATTCTAATAAACGCCCCTTCCCGCAGGGGGGAAGAGATTAACAGACTATTTAATGAAAAACGTTTCTTACGGTAAAACTGTAACAGCTATGGAAGTTGAAAACTCTTCACTCTGGAAACTTCTAGGAAATGTTGTCAAAATTAATCGTGAAACTAGTGTTGCAAAAACAAACACCACCGTCTAAAAGACCCTCGAGCTCCTTATCTAATAAACGCTCCCCACTATTCAAAAACTCATTAGTAATTCATCAGGAAAACACAAAGAAAAAATAATGAGAGTGTCGTGTCTTTATACAGGGTGAATCAAGAAACCTGCAAACGTTTGAAATACAATGTTTTTAGAATTTGCGTGATTCAGAACTAATTTATCCCAAGCGTGCTTAAACACAATAGTCAGTGATCCATTCGCAGTCGAACTGATAATTAGTTTTCTGCATTACAAATAATTTTGTGTTAGTCTAATTTCTATCAACGCTGTTAATTAGTATGTTTTTTTTTTCAAATCCCAGGAGCAAAATAAGTAGCACAGATATTGAAATGCTAGTATAAGCAGCAGAATTATGCAAATAGTATTTGCAGGTTTTTTGATACACCCTGCATGTATGCGATAGAGATTTCCCTTGATTTACATAAACTTTGATTTTCTCGACTTACAAGACGTATTTTTGTTTCGTTCCCCGCAGGAACGAAACGGTACTGTATTTGGTTTCGAGCAATTATCACAGGAAAGTGACGTCAGAGATTAAAGTTATCCAATCCTTTGCCAGTATTCTTGCTCAAACGTCAATTACATTTAGAATCGTCCAATGAGATGACCGCTCCTAGCATAAGAAGTTTTTTGGAGGCGTGGCGTATAATTTTGGAAATCTTAGTTAATTATATATCAACCTATGAGAACATGCTAACTTAACCTGAAGTTCAGGCCCTAATTTTAAATAGGGTTTGACACAAAACCTGTCTAGACAGTGACGCTCACATGTTATTTTTAGACACAGCATGCAATATGATTGACAAGTGTTATACTGTAGATTTCGTTACACAAAAAAATTATATTCTCATGAACATGTCCGCAGAGTGTGCATTTTGCTTTTTAATTAAACTTAAAAATTCAAGATACTTTTATATAATTAAGAGTCGGTTTCTCTATTTAACCGAACAGCAAACGAAGATTCAATTAGTCAGTTCTGTGTACAGCTTGACTGCCAAGCTTTCTCAAGGTCTCAACTTGCTGGACGCGGATATATACCAAGGATATACTTTAACGGGCTAACAACAGCAACAATAAAATTCTCAATCGTACCACGAAGAAGGCGATGTAGCTCAGAAAACAACGCCGGTAGGACCTGATATTAAAAATAAGACTTTTGCCGGCGAAGCCAGTTGGCAGAACATCTTGGCTGTCAACAACAAACTTTCAAATAGATGACTAGTTTGGCTGTTCTTTCAGTGTCGTGTGTCCAAAATTCGTCAAAGATTTTGATAAAGACCTTCAAAATACTATTTGTTTGATTTATTTTCTGCCATAAAGCATAAAAGAAAAGAAATTCGAAGAAATCGATAATGGATTTGTTACGTGCATTTGACCTTTATATTATTATTGTCCCCTTAAGCCCTTCACCGAGCT